AAAGGCATTCGACGATCAATTCTAAACCGGTAGGAATATATCAAAAACAATTCATATTTCTGTCATTTGCCCCCAACGTTGTCAACCATTGCGGTTAAAGTGAGTTACATTTTAATGGAAAAATCAACCTTATCACAAAGACATAGAGGTGACATTCTTTCGACGTTAAAATAAATGCGTCATGCTAAACAATAATCACTCCTTGAATTTATGTGAGCCTGGTATTTAAAAGTGAACCTTATTCTAGGAACCATAGAGTAGAAGAAACAGTAAAGAATGATCAAAAAAAGCAATAATGTGTTTATAGCTGGAGGGTCGCATAAGGTGTTTATGGTTCGAATTCCCGATATTGTTTGTGAATATATCAATATAGGTTTATACTTAAGTAGGTACCTAGCTGACGTTAAGTACGGTGTTACCCCTTAATTAAATAACACAGTCATTTTTAAATTTATTAGTTTAGGAAAATGTTCTACGCTGAACAACTGAACAAAATTTCATGTATGGATATTTAATGGAAAGGAAAAAAATCATAAAACATACAGAAATTTCCTTTTTGAAGTTGTACTTCTTTAGGCGCGTTATGAAAAATTGATGAGAGTGAAATTTTACGATTGCGCGCGCACCTATGACACAAAATTGGCAGTGTGATATAGCGTGCGCGAGCGAGATGGGAATAAGACAAACTACAAGTAAAAAGAAATAGAATATGCGTGAAGCTAACTTCACGCATATTCTAGCTTAGCAGCTTAACAAGAATTTTGAATGACCATGACAATTGACATCTGACAATGACATTTACCTTTTAAACAAATATAGGAGTTTTAATTATTGTTTAAAATTAATAATTATATACCTAGTTATTTTCATTATACAAAATATTTGTGAAATAATATAAAATATTTGTGAAAAAACTGTGCTAACCTTCCTGAGTGCTTCAATACAATTGAGGTTAACTATCCGTATGTATTATCGAGTATTATTGTTGATTAAAACTGAAACATGAACCATTATTCATTGCTTTTGTTTATTGCGTTTGTTACAGCAACTTTTTAGAAATATTCTACGACCCTATATATCAATAATTGAGAACAAAGATTTAAGCACGAATACTAATAAGGAGAAAATGAAGGCTTGGAGCGATATAACAGAGAAGTAAACATTTTAATAAGTACCTGCATCTCAAAAAAATGACCACATTATTTAATCAAAACATCAGATTTAATCTAGCAAATATAAGGACAAGAGACAAAAAACAATTGATGAATCAGTGGAAGTGCACTAAATTGAATACAAAAAAAGAGTTGTCATCTTATCGCCGTGAAACATCAAAAACTGGAGGTGGAACAAAGCCACCATCACCTTCTCGAGACACAATGGTTTGAAGTAGATTTCAATGAATTTGATTGTGATGGTGTCGAGGTAGGAATGTTAATTATAAATATGATGTATGGTGATGTTCAAGGTTCAACCTTTCAAGCATAGGCATATGCTTACAACATTACTTTATTCCCCTACAGGGTAGTTAGAGATATTGTAATACCTCAAAACATCCATGTTGCACTTGTAGTACCGAAACTCTGTCCTGCCAGAAGTGAGCCCATTCCCACTTATAATGGACAGTGGGTATAATACACCTTAATACCTGAGTGCGAACCACTCACCATGATACTTAAATTAATAGATGTTATTTATATATTTCAGGTTATTACAAATAAAATCATTTTGGAAACAATTGATATCCCAAAAGCAAATAAAGCCAACAATGACAAGGTAATAAATCAGTTTTGACATAACTTGAATACTAAAAAAGCCAAACAAAGGTGTGCACAACAGTGACAACATAACTTAACAATTTCATTATTTTGTAGGATTAAAGAAAGGTTAAAGAAAATCATGTCGAACTGAACAACAAGAATCCCCAAACAACTCCAAAGAAACCTACAAGGAAGACACCGGTATTATATTTAAATTATCTCTATCTCTAAATAGAATAAAAGAATTGCTATCCAGGTCTGTAGCATGTGCTACAAATTATATTATTAACACATTTATATAATTATATTAATATAAATGTGTTAAAAAAATTTATAATATGAATTATAAAAAATTTTAAGTTTTGCATGGACAGAGCTTAAATTAATATTCTCTTATTTGTTGCAGAAAGCAAGTAGTTTTGGAGAAGCCTCGTAGATGCACAACCAAGTAATGATTAATTTAAAATTACAAACCGAAATTCTGATGAAGACATTAGAGTCACTTAAAAATAAATAGTATAATGAAATAAAAATGTATTAAAGATAAATAGTGTTTTATTTGTTTAATGTAAGAGAATAATAATAAATATTTATTTAATTAATTTTTCAAATGTAAACTGAATTTTATTGACTTTAATGACTCCTTTTCCAGTCTTTGATTATTTAATTGTAATTAATTATTTGCATGCAATCAAAAACTATTTTTAATAATGCCAAAGAAGTATAACTTCTTACGCGCGTACATAAGTACACGCACCCTTTTTTTTATAAAATGAAATCGCATGTCTAATCGTCGTAAGCGTACGTGACGCGAATTGAAAGTAAAATAAACATGTCAAGTGCGTGTCGGTTATTGCTTTATTAGAGGTTCCGGAATTTTGATATTAAAAAAATAATTGTATCTAAAAATATTTATTTTTAAAAATAGCAAGCTGGAGTTTGGAGTTAGTGAAACTAGTGTAGTGAATATAAGTGCGAGTGCGGTATCTCGGACAATACTACAATACTGTTAATCAGTATTAGCTGCTTAAGCTATTGTGGTAAATTTCGCCAGCATAATTTTGTATAGGCTAGATAGATTCATACACTTACTTCTTAAAATATATCAATATTTCTTCAAATCATTGCAGCGTAAATTAAAATTTTGATCGGAACATTAAAAGTGTTTTGAGTTCTGTTTTTTCCCCAGATATCTACATACAATGCAAACAATACAAATACATCGAACATACAATGTAAAATATATTATGTCCTGATGTTTAACCGCTGCTAACCATTTAAGACAAGTTAAATATACTATTACAGACAGACATAACATTTATTACTTACGAAACCCACAAAATTAAATAATAATTAAAAAATAAAAATAACAAAAAAATATGGTTAGAAAAAAGTAATAAGGTATAATATATAAAGGTATAAGTAATAAGTATAAGGTTTAAGTGTGTAATGTGGGCGCGCTGTGGTAGTAACTGGACATGGCTCAGCATTATGCTGTGGAGTAGACGTGTTCCACAGCGCTGGTCATTCTGCCAGAGACCACAACTGTAAGTTTGCGCCTCAGACGCAAAAAAAGAAAAATAATGTAATAATAGTAGAAATAATAATAATAGTAGAAATAATAATAATAGTAAAAATTAACAGTGAAGTAAAGAAGTCTAGTAGGCCAGTCATTATAGACATTCGAAATCGAAAATTTGATAATAATTCCAAAAGTTTTCAAACTTCGGTCAAGTGAATGGTACATTGGGACGACAATAAATCTCATTTTGCAACCTTGTCCGCAGTCCGGAACATTGTTAAAATTGCAATTAAATTAATTTTTGCTGTATGGTCGTGAAAAAAATTCCAAAAGTTCTGCAAACTTGGGGAAGTTTTCGATATAATATTTCATATCACGTATAAAATTTGCAACCAACCTAAGTGTACGGAACATTTTTTGTTATTTATTTTATTTTCGATATATCTGTCAAATTTGCAGAACTTTTGGAACGTTTTCCTTCAGTTTAATAAAGAAAAACATTAATTTTTAATAACAAAAAATGTTCCGTACACTTAGGTTGGTTGCAAATTTTATACGTGATATGAAATATTATATCGAAAACTTCCCCAAGTTTGCAGAACTTTTGGAATTTTTTTCACGACCAAAACTTATTTTTAACAATGTTCCGGACCGCAGAGCAGGTTGCAAAATTTTATAGTTTGTTTTAATACCACTCCCGACCTTACATCAAAATTTGAAAACTTTTGGAATTATTATGAATTAATTGTCTTGACTGACTGGTCTATAGGAAGATTTGCGTAAAAGTATATAGTAAATAAAAAAAATAAGAATAATTGTTACTAAAAAAAATATTTTTTTGGGCGGATTTAAAACCTTAGGATTTTTGTTGAGTAAGTAGATATACTTTATAACTGCGACGCAAATTTGGTTTTAGTTGAAGATATTTCAGCGGATATTACAGTGCCTTCCGCGAATAATGTTATTTAAATGACACCTATGCTTCAATCAGTACGATGACGTCACTACGTCATCTCAAGCTCAGCCACTGGGACCTTCGACCCAGGCAATGGTCTAGTTCGAGGATTGATATAGATTGGAAGAACAGTACACCTTCCTTACTCCACAAAAGTACGAATTAATAAAAGCTTCACAAAATGCAGTTTCTTCAAAAAACTTGGCGGTTAAAAAGAGTGGCGGAGAGTTTATTGCCAGTTTTTCTCTTCCGTTCTACGCCATTGATTTGAGAACTGACAGTAAAATTAGAAGTATTTAATATGTATTAATTTTTTGACGTTCATAAGTGTACATTGTGTTTAGGGAGCGTTCAAGTATTACATAACGAATTTGCGGGGGGGGTTGTGTCCTTTTATAAAACGTTACGATATGGATCCAGTCACTAGGTGGTCACGAAACGTTTTACTATACTTGGGTACAGTACCGTACTTGGGTACAGAAAAACGTTACGGCGCGTTAAATAGGGGGTAAGGGGGGCGGGGTATATGACTTAATATTATTTGAATTATTTAGTCATAACCTAGTAATATAATAAGGGGAACCCTAAATCGTTAGTGAAAATTCTTCAAGCTATAAAAGCTGTCCGCAATTTATCGTAATTGTAAACTCTGATTAGCATGTAATTGGCTCGCCTGCAGTGCCTACTACCTACATCCGGTAAGATTCTTATCTAGCACTACCTGCGTCTGAGTAAGACTTTATTGTTTTAATAAATCGAATCGTAACTAATTTGGACAAATGACTTCTACTACTCCCCTGAGCTTATTCAGTTGATTAATTCCTAAATTATATTTACTACTAGAATTAATTATTCTGCATAGTAATGTATAGTTTTAATGTAGTTCACAATATGTATGTAATTGAAATAATTTGGGTCGCAGTGTCAGTTTTTAAAAAATTTACCCTAAATATTATGATATTTTACAAGACAGGTGTAAACGACATATGTATGAGCAATTACTAATTAAATACACCTTGCAATCAAATTTAAAATTTTAATCATAACTCGAAGGGTTATTGATTACTATTGTAATTTGTACATTAATTATTCGACATTTTACCTTCTAAATATAGAAAAACCATTTTTGTTTCAGTTTCGTAATCATTTTATAATAGGCAAGTAGGTGATCCTGACACACGCCGCCGACTTTTTGGGTCTACGACAAGCCGGTTTCCACACTATTTTTTTCTTCACCGTTCGAGCGAATATTAAATGCTCACATAAGAAAGTACATTGGTTTACTACCGGGGATTGAGCCTACGACCTCAGGGATAGGAGTGGTACTCGAAAGCCACTAGTCACGAAGATGTGCAGCGTTTTTGTCGAGGAAAAGGGAGAGAGCGATTGAGACAGATTTAATTACCTTACAGATGGCGAATTACCTTATAGAAATTCGTAAATATAATATAAAATACTAATATGAAATACATATTAGTATTTTATATTTTATGCAAAATAATTTATTGAAATCTCAAATGACGAATTGTAAATTAAAATTGTTTTCATTATCGAAGAAATAAATTAAATTTATAATTTGTATTAATTTTCCACACATAATATTTTAATGACAATTAAATTCAATAAACTCCTTTTTCCCTCCCTCTAAGTCTAGGAAATCTAAAGTTTTAGATTTGTATAAATATGAACAAGAGTTAACAATTAGTTTGTCAAATAAGTTTCACTTCTGACATGTGTACTTTGTACGCACGCGCTTTTTTGTATCTAAGGCATGCTGGTTTCCACAGGATTCCTTCACCGTACGAATAAGTGTTCTCATAGGTAGTTCCTCTAATTTGAGATATATGTATTATGGTATTCAAATTCCCATCTCCATCTCTTAGCTTCTGGTTCTTAAAATGGTTCTTAAAATCTGTACTTTATTTATTTTTATGGAATTTTACGTGCAAACAAATTCTATCGAAGAGTAGGTGTTATTTACAGCCTAGTAACCGTATATTAAATATATTCATAAAGTAGTAACATGTACCATATTTTGAACAAAAAACACACAATATGCAAGAAATCGCTTCCTGTGCAAAATCTAGGTGAAATAGATTATAGTAACATTAGAGTTAACTGCGTACTCGTGTAATTATATACAGGCGTGCCATTAGCATATAATTGTCGGATGCGAATCGCTCTTGGTCATAAATCTCAAAGACTATGCGTTGCAACTATAAATTAATGCTTCTACGAATGATGGGAAGTATTAGAACAGCCTATAAATGTATATGAGAGTAGCGCTAGCCTTGTGGCTTCAGTATGCGACTCATCCCTGAGGTCGCAGGTTCGATCCCCGGTAGTACACCAATGGACATTCTTTCTATGTGCGCATTTAACATTAGCTCGAACGGTGAAGGAAAACATCGTGAAGAAACCGGGTTGCTTTAGACACAAAAAGTCGACGGCGTGTGTCAGGCACAGGAGGCTGATCACCTGCTTGCTAACTAGATCGACAAATCAAGAAACAGATACAGAAATCTGAGGCCCAGACCTAAAAGGGTTCTAGCGTCTATGCCATCTTCACGATAACTTTCTATGCTTCAAAACAATTAAAATACGAGACATATCATCTATAAATTTTCTTTAATTACGTAAAGATTCATTAAAAATGTAAAGAATACGATAGTTTTTTTTGTCGTCTGTAAATGAGACCACTTTGAATTTTAAACACCGACAAACCAATCGCGGCGCCTCATTTAAAAATATTTATGAATGAACCACAGTGACCTTTAACGTCGACTGGTTACGTTAATTAAATACTGGTTCGAACATATATTGATATCATCACGTACCAGTAGAGAGAAACGATTGCGTAACTTATATAAAAACATTTAGTATGGTGGTTATAAATAAGAATATGTACTTCAAAGTTTTGAAGGAACTAAATATAACGTACAGTTATGGTTCGTATATTTTAAATAAAAGATCCTTGGTACAGGATACCAAGGACGGGATATACCGATATTTTTCTATGATTTTCTTGTACATAAAAAAATTGGCACTAGTTTTTATAAATATCGCAACGTTGTAAATACATAGTGTTACCAGGCTCTTAGAACTACGAAGATGTAGATTATTGTATATATTATGTTGCTTACGTTGCTTACGTTGCGAACAGAACCTCAAGTGAAGTAGGTATGAAAATTTACAACAGATGAAAGGAAATCTTCTATTTCATCAACAACAACAAGAAAGATCCTTCAATCCAAAGGACATTGTGGATACTTTATTTATTTAATTATTTTTACTTTTATTTATTACGATATATTTTACGACTAATTCATTCATCTACTGTTCTCGTGAAATCGGCTTAGTTTAGGGAATATTTGAAATATTTAATTTCCTATTAGGTACCGTAATATCTGTTTGTAAAAATATGATAAACTTACCAATATCATGTAGGCGGTGGTTGTCTTTTTGTGAGAGTGCAGCCAGTAGACCGGCATCACCGACGCGTTGCCGCGCAACCGCTATCCCCACGGGAATCGACCCTTGAAGAAAAAAAATATTTATTGTTTTTGGGAACATAAACTACTACTAACATTTATTTTATCATCAATGCATGAAACCTTTTTTGATTATAAATAACGCTTTATGTGTATGAAAAGGCGTTTATAATATATATTTTTTTAAATCTTAATGTGTTCTTCCTCTGACATCATCATACTCTGGTGACGTAAATAGAGTTAACTGAACCGTTATTTGTACGGTACAACTACTAGGCGATAATAAATCACAAAGAGATACAATATTGTTCGACTGTTGAGTGTGTGTCGTTCTTATCTTGTCTCTCTGTTGGATGACCTCGTTTCTCAACCTTCACCGTGATAATTTTTGTTCGATTTCATTTTCATTAGGTATTGTGGTTATGTACTTATTATAATAATTAGGCAATTGCTAAATAAATACCTATAAGTTGCATTTATTCACTTCGGAAATTGCATTTAATAACGCAGTGTCAACGATAACGACTAGGTACTATTTACAAATTATATTTTATTTATTGAAATTGTTTCTACTTTTTACACTTTTCGCAAAACCAAAACTATAAAAATGAAATTAGTCAGTTACTCAGTTTAAAAGACACTCACCATTGTTAAGAGACACAGGAATCGTGGGCTGTTCAGGCTTATTGCCAGGAGAGGCCTGCTCTAGTTTCACAGCCACCAGCTCTGACATGTGGACGTGCTGGGGCTCTCGTTTCACCTGAACTTGGACGTTCTGTCCAGCTACACCAAGCCACGTCACAGGATTAGTTCGACTGCAGCCGCCATCCGTGTGGATAACCTACATAGAATAGTACTAGGACTTAATGATTGGCGTGTAGATTGCATATATATTTTGATGTTTCATTTATATTGATAACAACAACTAACAAATACTGTTAATTAAACACAAATAACGCATTTAAATGTAAATATATAGTTTTAATTGATTACAACTCCAATGCCACCCGGAATCAATAAGGTTGTATAGGAAAAAGAGGGATATTCGTATACCTAGTTTTAGTTTATTGGTCGTGCTAGTTCTTTCGGGTCGGAAATAGGAGGGAGCTATTAAAAGATCTAAGCGCTCTAGATTGCGGAAAGCGTTTCGTTCTATGTATGTGTAGATTAATTAAGATGTTTATTTTTAAAATAGTATGATTGGTTGGCTTTTACAGAAAGTAAGAATAACAGTAGGTAAAAATAATAAATATATTATACCTTTTTAGGCGAATTAGTAAGACATGTGTTGCAGGTCCGCTTCGCCTGTTCGGTTTTGATAGACAAAGGCTGCATCATATTGACACCTTCAATAATCTGTCGTTGGTCTGGGCAGCAAAGAGATTCTGGCATACATTTGCCCAATTTGGCCTCTTCCATTTTACTACTGTCCCTGCACAAAAATTCCATAAATAAAATACGCCGAGATCTCATACTTTAATAATTTATTTTATTTTCATAATCTACCGATTGAATATTGTTTGTTACAAGTTGAGGGCAGAAATAGTTTTTGAAGTTATACTTCTTTAGGCGCGTTATGAAAAAATGATGAGAGTGAAACTTTACGATGCGCGCGCACCGTGACACAAAATTAACAGAATGAAGTTGCCCACGGAAGATGCTACGGCATTGGACATAATTTAAAAACAACATTCGAATAATAATAGAATTTATGTTACACTTAATGTAAGGGAATAATAATAAAAATAAATATTTATTTTTTTAATTTTTCAAATGTAAACTGAACTTTAGTGACTATAATGACTCCTTTTCCAGTCTTTGATTATTTCATTGTAATATATCTTTTCGATTCGCTGATCTCTTAAACTTAGCTTTTAAATTAAATTCAAAAGTATTGTGTGAATAACAAAATGAAAGTACTTACTTGTCAGCAAGCAGCAGGCGGTTGCAGTTGAGAAGTTCTAACTGCAACGGCGAATACGGTGAGTTTGGCGGCGGCGTAGGCACACCAAACGTGGACAGTGATGTTGAAAATAGGCTCTCCGTTACTGTAACAAAATGTAATAAATAAGCAAGGTAATACGAAACGCTTATAAATATCATGGGAGTCATTCAAACGTATTTGGACTTCAATAAATTAATTACATTAAGAAATTTTCACGAATTTACAATAATTCTTCTAGAGATATTTAATTACTTAGAAAATGAAATAACTTTAAATTATATTGCATTACTACAAATATACATTTAAAATACCTACTATACTAATATCGAGCTACAAAAAGTATACCAGCTTTATAGCAAGGCAAACGAGATTTATATAACTGACCAAGAAGAACGAAATTTTGACAATTGTATTTGAAATAGTATTAGAAATACTTTATCTTTTATGATTCAGACAACAAAAGGAACATTAAAGCATCAACCAATTTCCAATAGCAAAGAAACGTAGTTTTTAGATTCTTACTCATTCGGATTCTAACTAATTTTCGAGTTTGAATTGGCAATTATCGAATGAAGTGTATATTTTCATCTGCACTCAGAATCAGTGGTAACGAACATCAAGAGGTTACTAAGGCCATTTAAATAAAATTACCATAGATCTAATTGCATGCTGAAAAAGTTCACAGACTATGCTTCTTTTTAATGAGTCGACAAATTATCGGGCATTTAATGTTATAAGCCAGTTACAATGTGATTTAAATTACTTATAATGTAAATTCATAAATAGAGATAATTTTATCGCCGATTGTGAGTACATATCATTATGATGCTACGTGGATTTTAGCACTGAATCAAAATTATTACATTATGTAACTGAATAAAATGGGAGCAATTTAAAAATTTGCTAATTACGTCCAAGGATTTAAATTTAATTAAAAATAGGGTCTGTCTGCCCCAAGGGTGTATCTGTTTTAAACATCCAACGCAGCGAATATATTAGTTGTGGAATGAGTTTTAAAACTAATGAAAAAATTCTCTTTATTAAACAAATAGTTACATTAACTTTAAAAGTATAATTTAATAACGTTAAAAGAAACAGAATTAGTAAAGGGTTTTTGGTTCGTAGGTACATAATAATAATTATAATAATAAGCCTCTTATCCTGAACTGTTTCTTTGACTTTGTGGTTGACTCTTATCTTTAAGTTATAAAATATCTCTGAGTTCAGTGTGCCTCTTGGCAAAGGCCTCCTCTAACAATTTCCATTGTACTCTGTCTTAATTTGTTCTCATTCTTTTTGTTTTTTTGTTCTTGTTAGAGGGTGATGGTTTAAGTCTTCCGCGGGGACCAGCCGTGGTGGACGTAGGTACATAAGTAGTAATTAAATAGTAACTGTATTTGCATCCTAGTTTATGGGCTTTATTTTTATTTACTAAGCGTTCTTTTAGTATGTTTAATTAAATGCGGAATTTCTTCTAGACAAAGTTTTCTCCCTAAAACGCATATTAAAATCCCATAATCTTGCTTTAATCTTTTGACGTAGCCGTGAATCAGTGTCTATTTCGGGTGTCCCTCGGGAGTCGGACCTTAATTAAGTTCGTGTCAAGCGCCCCAGGCAACACATGTAGAAATCCCATTTTAAAAATTAAGCCTGACAACGGGAAAATATTAGGAAAGAAACTTTCGATTATTGAAAAGAATTTTTGAAGTTATACTTCTTTAGGCGCGTTATGAAAAATTTATGAGAGTAAAATTTTACGATGCGCGCGCACCTGTGACACAAAATTACGAGTGTGATTATAGCGTGCGCGAGCGAGATAGGAATAAGACAATCTACAAGTAAAAAGAAATAGAATATGCGTGAAGTTCGTATGCCAAGAATTTTGAATGACCATAATGACATTTGTCATTTACCTTTTAAACAAATAAAGGAGTTTTAATTATTTTTTCAAAGAAATTTAGCAATGCTTTTTGAATTATATATAATCAGAAGTGATTTAAATTGAATATTTTAACCAATACTAATTAATATTTGTGAAAAAACTGTGCTCATCAACCTTCCTAAGTGCTTCAATACAATTGAGGTTAACTATCCGTATGTATTATTATACAGTAATGTTTTGATTAAAAAATTAACCACATTGTTTAATCAAAACATGTAATTTTTCTGATTTTATCTAGCAAATATAAGGAAAAGAGACAAAAAACAATTGATGAATCAGTGTAACTGCACTAAATTGAATACAAAAAAAGAGCATTTCATCTTATCGCTGTGAAACATCAAAAACTGGAGGTGGAACAAAGCCAAACTATTTTTAATAATGCCAAAGAAGTATAACTTCTTACGCGCGTACACGCACCCTTTTTTTTTTCTTTATTAGAAGAGAGAAAGCAGAAAGGGAAACAAACTATCTAAAAATGGAATTAAATCAAATAAATTAAATTATTAATTGTCTTTTTTGTTCTGTTCTCATAAATTTGCCTGTCATGTGGTTTCATCATTGTTACCAGGGTAGCAGAAATAGCTAGAGGTCAGCTACTATTAAATCCATTAAAATGCCTTCCATGACGCACTAAAGAATGCAAACAATTCTCATAACGTATCAAATTCGTCGCGGCAATCAAATATTCTGAAATGAACTGAGTAGCCGGCACATCACTGCATTACACGCCTGACACTTCACAGATATTCTCTCCGTATAAGTAAATTAAAGATTAAGTACGATAAGAAGTAGATATTTCTATACTACTAGCTATAGAATCTATTTATTAGGTTATATAATATTCAAACCAAGATTAATTGGCAGGAAGTTATGTTATTAAATATTAAACTTAGAGAACTGTAATTTAAATTAAATACATTTTTGAAATCAAACTTCTTTAGCGCGGGGGTAAAATTTTTACGGATGAAACGCAATAATAATAATATTAGCGTCGCGAAGATGTGCAGCGTTTTTGTCAAAGAAAAGGAAGAGAGCGATTGTGACCGATTGAAAGAGAGTGAGTAGAGTGACCTTAGAGACATTCCATTTTTGAAATTAAAATTTCGTAAAGAGAATTTATGAAATATTAGTTATGTTTTATGCAAAATAATTTATTGAAATCTCAAATGACGAATTGTAAATTAAAAAGTAGAAAGATTAGATAACAGAGAACTAACCACCCGTGATTACGAAAGGAACTACATTTTTAGTTAATTTATGAAGTTGGGTAATGACGACTTGTCCATTTATTTAAAAATGTTATGAACACAAAGTAAATGAATCACTAGGGCAACATGACAGTAGCTATAGTATACTAGCAATGTAGGTTATCGATTCTGTGAAACGAGTTTATAGGCAGTGATGCGCGAGCTATAATCTGTACACGACCACTCGTTATGAAGTGAATAAATCTGATGGACTGAACGATTTGGAACAGCGATGTCGTTGTCACTCAATCTGATCATGATGGACATCTTTTTTTATAAATCAACTAGCTGACCCGGCAAAGGTCGTTTTGCCATGTATATTATTTCTAGGAAACATGTTTTTAGTTCAATAAAAATAACTATCTACTATAATAAAAAATAGGGGTTGATTGTAGAGGGGTGACAACTAAGGGTTGTATGTATTTTTGTATCCTGTATCATAAAAAAATAAAAACAAAGTTTTGTCTAAAAAATAAAATTTCAAATTTAGAGGTGTTACCACCCTTAACATTTAGGGGGATGAAAAATAGATGTTATCCAATTCTCAGACTTAAGTAAGTCTGAGAATCGCATATATAAAAAATTTCATAAGAATCGGTCGAGCCGTTTCCGAGGAGTATATTGGGAACGAACATTGTGTCACGAGAATTTTATATATTAGATTTATACAGAAACCTTTACCTATTATACAAAAGTTTATTTCGAAACCCAATCATATACACTGAAACGCTTTTCAATTATTTTCGTCATCATCATCATCAATGGCTATACGGCCCCTTGAAGGCCTCATCCATCCATCCTCATATATTTCACCATCGCAATATAATTCGTGCTTCTTGCATCTCCAAATAAATTTTTCGAGCCTCCCACCAACGAATCCTCGGTCTACCGCATGTTCTTTTGCCACCAGCAGTTCAGTAAGGACCTTGGGGTTCTGTCATCCATCATTGGATGCACATATCCCAACCACTTGAGCCTGTTGCATTTTATGAATTGGACGATGTTGGCGTCGTCAAGGATGTTATAAAGTTCTTCATTGAAGTGAATAGCCAAACACCTCCGAGAAAACTCACCAAGTATCTTCCGCTCGAAAGTAAGGAGAGCAAGCTCTTCCTTTTTGCTTCAGAAAGGACCAGGTTTCAGAATCCTGAAGAAGAGACGACTGGTCGCAGTAGAGATTTGTATAGAACAAGCTTGGTATTCTTTCTATCGCTATTGGCTATTTACTAAGGCCAAAGTAGCAGCGATTTGCTGCCATGTGTCTGATCAACTGTTTTACATAAAAAACGTGTGTACTCATGTTCACGCGTTAGAAGTTATACTTCTTAGGCGTAACAAATTAAAAATCTTTTCAAAAAATTTATTCTACGTTTGTAGAAAAAGCGACACTAACAATAGAAAAAAATAAAATGTTGACTATAGTTAACTTCAGTGTCGGCTTTTTGTGACGGCATCGTAAAAATTTACCCTCATCATCTTTCCCTGCGCCAAATATTCAATAAAATTTATTATTAAATCTAATCCTGACTTTGCCATTTAAAACTTTCTTTTTAGTGAATTATAATACTAACAATGTTAAAAAAAAAAATTGTGCGTGAACTTGTACGTAAGAGGTGTAACTTCTTTATGACCTTATTTTTCTAAAAATGATCTACTATATGCAACTTTACAGAAATTGGTTCAATAAAGTTAAATTAGATAAAGTTTAACAAAATGCTTTTATTATCATAGACATGAATTCAAATAATGCAATTATTACATTTTACCTTATTACTACTAACATTATAACAGAACTTCATTAATTGCATTTACTTAAAGTAATCCGACAAATTTCAAGGTTTTCTCGCGAGATTTGCCGCCGATATTTTTGAAATGGCCATTCCATTTCAAAACTTTCAATAAAATATCGGATTCAACCTACGATCGATCAGGCAATTTGTAGTTGGTATTAAAAAAAAAGCAACATGGCGCGTAATCGAAAAACGTAACGATTTTTTACATTGCTACAAAATTTCTCCCATACGTCGATAACGAAGTTTCACTTCAAAAACTTAATCAATCCATAACATATTTTTATACGTTTAAATGGTGTTTGAAAATTGAATTAAATCAATAATTAAATTGATTTTATCCAAGTAGATTTCCAATCAATTAGTCGCTGTCACTCAAAAGTATCACGTAACACCGCAATCCCCATTATCCCGGTGTAATAGAATTTTTTCATTACCCGAGCTAGGTCCCTCTATTGAAGCCAATTTGTCACGCTTGAACCGTACTTAAACCACAAATCAAAGGTTTCTCTTTGCCCACATTTTTGCTTGTTTCTTATCACGTGATAATTAATCATAAAGAGCCCGATGTTTTAGAAGGGAAACGAATGTTACATAAAATTTTCACCCTTTTACCTAAGAAGAGAGTGAGAGTACTTTGTAGCATTTTCTATTTCAACTCCTTGTTATCCGAAATCTTAAATATTATTAAAGTCTAATGAGCAGTGTTGGCCTAGTGGCTTCATATAAAAAATGTCCATTTCTTTGTAGATTTTTTTTTGTGATATTTAAATAAACATTATTTAACTAGAGAATGCGTTATAATAAAACTTTCAATGTATTAAATACCTCTTTTCTATGGTTAGTGTCGGTTTTTCTACAAACGTAGAATTAGGCGAAAGATAAAAAATTTAAAAAGATTTTTATCTCGTTAAGGAATCATATGCTATGAAGCAAACCAGCATGCCTTTGACCAGAAAATTCGACGGCATGTGTAAGGCACAGATGGCTGATCCACTTGCCTATTAGGAAAAATAAATGATCACGACGGATACCTACAGATACAGCCGAGAAGGTAGAGCCCGGGTATACTCATAGATTTTAATAATACACCGATAATTTCTGATAAAATGAAATCTGTAACGGAATTTTATTCTACGATTTTATATCTGGATCTTTATAACTCGGCGACCATGACGTCCGCATTTGTTTATCCCATTACGCATCCGTTACGTCCACAGAAATGCTGTAAATTGAATTGGATATAGCCTATTTGACATTTTAAAAACCATTGAGACAGAGACCACAGACTATAGAACCTATACAAATCGAAATTTTAATATATAAGTATTTTACTTGAAACTGGCATAAAGTTATAACTATTGCCATAATAAAAAAAATTAAATATAAGTACATATTTTTAAAAATACAAATGAAACATTTATAATTCCATGAACCTGCCAAAACTCTTGACAAAATGGCGTCGCATACGAGTCTAACGAACCATACCTGCCAAACGTCAAGTTGTTTACGTGTCAATTATCATTCTTAAATTACACATATATAATATGTCGAACAATAACACTCTTCGACGAAATTAAACTCCAGACGGTATTAGGATTAGACAGGCGAAGACATATTAATGCTACATCATCGTCGATTCGACTAATCTGTGACCGGATTGTGTCAAGTGACTGACGTTTAAAATCCAATATTTTTAGTTATGGATTTTTTTAATAAATTATAGACTAGTTACAAGTTATTTTAGCCCATAAAGCCATTTTTTATACAGATTACACTTATTAACACTTTATTTTTAATATTTTCAAATGGCAGTTAATGCCAATGAAAATAAATAAAACAAATCAGTGGCGCTACAACCATTTTAGGTCTGCCTTAGATTTCTGTATCTGTTTCATTTGTCAATCTAAATAGACAAGTCAGCCTTCTGTGCCTGACACACGCTGTCGACTTTTTGGGTCAAAGCCGGTTTCCACACAATGATTTGATTCACCGTTCGAGCGAATGTTAAATGCGCAGAAAAAGAAAGTCCATTGGTGTACAGCCGGGGCTCGAACCTACGACCTTAGAGATGAGAGACGCACGCTGAAGCCACTAAGCCAACACTGCTCAGATAATACCAATACCACATTTAATATTTAACCCAAACATAAAACTACAATTTCTAATACTTCCGGTATCACCGGCAAAATCCTGAATTAAAATCTGACGTGGACATAGATTTATAAAGAGTTGGTAGACCTACATGTAAACTAGTATTCACTCTAATATCCGTAGATTATAGAACGTTAGATTAAAGGTTTACCTTTATGTATTGAGGTCCTGTTAGTGCCTTGATTCGGGAACAAAGAGTAGAGGGGAAATCTCGCAACACCTATGAAAAAGAAATAAAATGTCAATAAAAACATCATGTAATTTCGTATTGCGAACCTTACAGATTAGAAGGGACGGAAGTATCTAGTTTTAGACAAGACACGTTTTAAACGCAGAGTTAGCGGAGTGAAACAGTGGAAAACTTTTTCTTTGTTTAAAAACTAGTCTGCAAATTGTTTGATTACAGACAATAAATGATCTAGTAAAATTATATATTTTTGTATATACATATAATACTAGTGGACCCCACAGACGTTGTCCTGCATGATATTTAAAGCGATTAGGATATTAAGCAAAGTATGAAAGTACCGACTGCAGTGCCATCTGCCGGGCTGATTTGTGAATCTAAACCATTCCCAGATCCCCTTGAACACACACAAAAAATTTCATCAAAATCGGTCCAGTCGTTTAGGAGGAGTTCAGTCACATACACACGCACACAAGAAATATATATATTATAAGATATATTATGGTATGTTTAATAAATAGGCTTCTGGAAACTTGAAAACCCTACGTGGAGGGTGGCATGCATTAAAACATTAAAATAATATTTTTTTATAAAATCCATATGAACTGAAACTAGCATAAAACGAAGTACCAGAGCCACATACCTTGTTGGAGATCAGAGGGCGGGCGGGAGCGGGCGCCCCCCGCCGCCCCGCCCAGCATCGCCCCTCGTGCTGAACCACCTCACCACCTGCGACAAACATACTTATTATAGCATCAATGTTCATACATTTAATAAACGACTATTTATGTTGGCTATGCTGCTTTATAAGCTGGAAATATTGTCGCAGTCTTCCAGTAGATTACATAATCGTACTACATACTTTTTTGTGATCAATAATAATTATTGAGCAAAGAGTTTGCATATAATCTATAGATATTTCAACAACAAAATCTTCAAAAAGTATCTACGATTTAATTAATTTCTAACGACTAAACCACTGTTAAGAAAACATAATAATATGCTGTTTATTTCCATTTTTTTTTAAATTAAGCTAATTTATTCCGTGTTACCATTTAATAAGGAGCAAAATCGCGTTTATATTTATAGGAAAGACAAAAAGTGTGAATAATAAATTACGATAACCCGTTTTACTTTTGTAAGGGCCGAGGGACGATTTATCTGGACTTCGTCGAATTCGATTTAAGAGAATAGTATGGCCGAGGCTTAAACTGTTACAATATTAGACAGCATCTGAATAGGAAGCGAATTTATTGGTTTCCCCATTAATGGATTTTATAACTTTGATGTATTAAATACTTATATTATATATTGTATAGATATTTAATCATAACTCTATGAGTTTGACTTTAGTTTAATAAACAAATAAATGTAATTTAATAATAATAGTTTAGTAAGAAAACCTTCGACACAAAAATTTAAAGGATTGTTGTCGTTTTATTAATTTTTTACTTTTGTAGTAGGTTAAAAAAAAGGAACATTCATACACGAACCATTTCTCTAGTTTTTACGAAAAAGAATATATAGATATTTTTTTTTACACACACTTGCTATATTTTACATATATGGAGAACCAACAGGAACTAAGTTCTTTCTACATTAGAAATTAATTGCAAAAGATTAAATGTTTAGTTTTGTACGCGATTTTTGGGTGCACAGAATAAGCAGTGTAACTGACGGGTCGTCAAAAACGTATTGGATTTTTTACGTATTTCTATATTTTCGTTTCAATTTTGTATGCCTGATGTCGTAAGTTCGATCCCCGTCTGTTCTATATAACTTGCTCGTACGGTGAAGGAAAACATCGCGAGGTAAGCGTCACGCCTTAGCCAACGTCGTGTGTCAGAGATTCTGTACCAGGTGGCTGATCTACTTGCCTATTTCATCTTATAATGCTTACCAAGTTTGGCGATCATCATGTCTACTTTAATTTTGGATGCCGCGCTTCTGAACAACGACTTGGTGCTTTGACCAAACTATTGCCTAAGAATCTTCAAAAGAATCTTCGGAAACGTGCTGCGTCTACAGCCAGGTTTCCTTCTATCTGCTACTTGTATGATTAGTGAAAGGAATTCCTATTTTTGTTTTTATATAGAAATGGGAACACACGGTTATGTGATACCGCGCCCATGGACACTCTCAATGTCAGAGGTTCCCGGCCTTATATGCTACGTAAGACGTGTCCCAAGTTTTCTTTTCTTAACCGTCATAAGCACCTCTTTGTTCTTCTGCATTGCATTTACTTGCCTATTACAAAAATCGAATGATCACTAAACAGATATAGAAGCCTGAGGCCCAGACCTAAAAGGTTGTAGCGCCACTGGTTTGTTTTTAATTTGTACAGGAAAATGTTTTCGCAACAATTTTGTGGTACCTGGTACAAACAGAAATACTTAACAGACAATTTGGTTTACTTTTAAAACTTTAACTAACATACCTACAAAACACCATAATATTAAACTTTAATCTTTATTAATTAAACCTATTTTTGGCTTTTTAAACAGACTTTGGTCACTCGCTAGAACTTTCCTATATTTCTCTTCCAAAGTATAAAACAAGAAATAAGGTAGGTACTTTGTATAAAGTAAAAGAAAACTGAAATGTAAGTATTTTTATTTCAATATTTGAGATATATATTACATCTATACTCTAGAGGTAAGATCCAGAATTTTCAAATTCAAAGTCTGAAGTAGGTATGTCAATAATGTATTGGATTTTCACATACCTACGTGAGTTCGCGCTAAATTTAGTTTCTGATCCCTACGTTTAAAACTTTGACAAAATCACAATAAAACTTAAATAATCTACGTCGTTTTCGCTTTCTAGACAGTTTAAAGCATTTCATAAGGACATTTATCGTTGTCATTGAAAGTTGACGTCGTATTCAAAATTATATTTCATCAATTAAAGACTCTATGTCTAGATCTACTAGTACACATTAGGGAAATTAAGAAAATTCTCTTTTTAAGGTTGGCAGTACTGTATCAAATCTGGCCGCGCTTTAAAATCCAAAATACATTTATCCTTACACTAATTAGCAACTAATTTATTTTTGAATAACCTATTTTAAACCTAACAAAAATATTCCTGCATAATCCTTTCAAACGATTCAAAAACATTTGTATAGAGTCTAAAATCAAGGGTCTTTCATTCAAGATCTCTTTAGATAATTTGCTAGTTTGAATTCACTCGCGAACTATAAATAACCTCTTAATTTTGTAGATACTTGAATTAAGTCCAATTTAGTATTTTTTACATTTTATAATCATGAACATTATATCAAAAACGGTTTTTGAATCCTAGTTATCCTCTTTTTGTGTCTGTGCTACTAATTAATTTGGTATTTATGTTGGCAACATTGATATTATCTATGGTTAGGTACCTATTACCGACATTTCGCGCGCTATTTTGAAATTCTTGTAATTGCGTAAATAAAAGAATACAAATCAAAATTTGAACTTTATTCTTGTGATTTTTTAATAACAAAATGTCCGGTTAGTAATAAATAAATAAATATATTTGATTATTATTGCACGATAAATTTATTTAAAGAAAAAATGCTTTAGCATGCTTCAGCGAATCATTGTGATAATAATATATAACTTTTAATCGTAGCGGTCAAAAATATATATATTGAAATTAAAATGTATTTAAAACGCGTAATTCGACTTCCGTTGATAACTATTGTTATAATAATAGTTATGACAGTTCCACAAACTAAAGATCCTAAAAAATAGTGTTTTCAAGCGTTGCTGGAGAGATTGTGACGTCATAAGTCATGAGCTCGGAGGAGTATCCAAGCGGGTTGCTAGGCAGCACCCTCTAAAGCGGAGGTAAATCCACTTTTTCCATTTACTTTTCTTAATTGGAACGCTCGGAACATTGGTAAATCATACATTATTTTATTGTATTTTCAACCATATGAAATCTAATAAGATTTCTAGAAAACGTGTTTTCCAATAAGATAAGAATAATCTGTACAATTTTCTAACCTTATAACAGATCATGTCTATGCCTAGAAACAAAATATCAAAGTGTTGCCAGCAATTTTGATATACTCTCTCCACTCCCATCCATGACCACAGGACTCATAAACGGATGTTAAAACCAATAAAAACTAATTATATATTACATCTGTCCCTCACGACTGGATATTATAGGGCGGAGTTCAACAATTAAGTGATTGTGATGATTGCTATACGTGTAAATTAACTTATTAATGTTGCTGATATCCTGGTACTTTGTTTTTAAAAGTGAACAAAGTCGATACCAACAAATTTGTATGAAAAGCATTTTTTTTAAAACTTGTTCGATATTTAAAAAATTGGACTAAAATGAATGAGATTAAAAAATACCAGTAAATAAATTCACAAGGCGTAACTACTTCAATACCATATCTATCCCCGACTAATATGACGTATTTTATTAATATTACTTTCTTCAATAATTTTACGATTGTAAATGCAATCTTTGAAATTTCGAAATATTTTTCGATCGTAGCTGAAGCCGCTATCGGCCGGAACCGATAACTTATCGTTCGTTTGTTTTCAGCTTCATTTGACGTCATTGTGCGGTTAACAGTTTAATTTACGGCTTTGGTCAGTAGTTACTTAAAACATACATAATAGGCGAATAGCTGAAGCAAACGTAATGAATTAATAAAGTGCATTAAAAATACAAAGTCTGAGTACGGTAATTCACGAAAAATTACGACGTACGATGTTCGATAGCAAGGTACAACATTGTTTTTACAGAAAAATACAGAGCCTTTTCGTTCTTTAGTTCGTGACTGAGAATATTTTCTTTTAAGTCATTATACAAAAACCAATAAATAATAAATATTGTATATTATGGTGATATTATCCGTGACTTCCTAAACATGAAAATATTTAGCTTAACTTTAGTATCATAGCATTAACATACAAAACACAAGAGTATAGAAGTATACTCTTAATAAAAACGACGCTTTAATAATTAATTACTACGGCGCCATTTCTAACATGTAGATAACAATAAAAACTATGGAATGCACGCACACAGATGAGTGCACAATCCACGTCCAGACAGAATGTTTGCGTAGGGGTGGTGGCTATCCCACCGTCTATACAGTTATGCGGCCTTGGTACTCACTGATGTAATTATCCCAGCTATTTCAGAGGGAGAAGAGGGAATGGCGGGCGGGAAGTTAAGGAAAAATTTCGACGTAATTTTTTAACAAAAAGCTGGCTTAGCAGTTTTAATAATATGGATATTATATATAAAAATTTATTTGAAACTTAAAATAATACCATAATTTCGTAATTTATTTATTGCGTTTAAAAAGGAATGAAATAACTATGTCCGAGTGCATATTTTTTTAAGTTTCAAGCGATGTCACTTCATCCAAATAAAAAAATGAATCCAATTAAACTTCGCTAGAAGGGCCAGATTTAAACAAAAAACACGATGCAATTCGAAGAATACGACGAAAAAACAATAGAAAAAATTCTCATCACAGCGGGAAGTTACGGCTAAGACTCCATAGAGATGTGCCTAAAATCATGCATTTATCGATTAATTGCCACTACTACAAAATCGAAATTGATATCTATAATGAACAATAAAACCCCTTCAAACAACTGTATCGCTGTAAACTAACTAAGCAAAAACCAAACAAGTGTTTTTGTGTGAGCCTTTTCTGTTATGTCTGATGTAAATCTAA